TCTATCTATCTATCTATCTATCTATCTATCTATCTATCTATCTATCTCTATCAGTCTCATCTATCTAGTCTATCATCATACAAAGTATTTATAAACTAATTATATACATTATGTATATATATTGTGTATATAATTGTTTTTCTGCTTTGTACAGAATTACCCTAGCAATGTAAATGATTCAAATCATACTGCCTTTTTTGTTACAACAAAAGAATAATATTTAGGCCACATGCAGCATTTTCTAAGCAGATCTCCACCCCACCCCACTCCCAGAAGTAGGCCCTCACTGGGAATTGCTCCTTAATAAGTACGTTTTATCAACTGCAATATAAATTGCAATCTGGTGGCAAGGTTCAATCTATATCCGTAATGGCGAACCTATGGCACACATGCTAGGAGTGGCACGCAGAGCCACTTCTGCCGGCACGCGAGAGGTCACCCGGAAGAGCCCCACTGTGCATGCGCGTCCGCCCACTAGCCAGCTGATTCCTGGGTATCTGCCGTGCATGCGCGGGGGAAGATGCGTGCGTGGGAGATGCGTGTACATGTGCAATGGCATGCAGCATGTGGGGGGTTGCATGCACATGTGCAGAGGTGTGCAGTGCAGGGGTCATGCACGCATGCACAGGGGGGCGGGGGGAGTCACACACGCATTGCATCATGGGGGCAGGCACGCATGCAGGCACACTTTGGGCACACAACGTGGAAAATGTTAGCCATCACTGGTCTATATCAACCTTTTGTCCTATCATCATGACATCTGACTCAGAAGCACACCACCTATTTCTGAAGAGATTTTAACTTAGTATTCGTTTTTTTCTCCAGACTGCCTTTGTGACATTATTTCTCCACTCTGCCTTTGTGAAGGCCGATGTCTATGTTCCATCGTGAGAGAATAATCCATTGTGGTGTTATAGCTCTTTTGGTGTGTTTGGAAATCCAGCTGTATTCAACTAAAGGTCTCCACAAGGGAATAAAAAAAAAAAGATGGCACCCATGGAACTACCCCTTATTTACAATAGTGCTGCTTTGACTTTTTTGGCCCTCTTCCCACCCCGTGTCTCTGTGCTCTGCAGTTTTATCTCATCTGAGGACAATAACAGGATGATGGAAAGAGAAGGAAATAAAAAGCAAACAAGACCATGCACAGCATAATTAGGGCCAGGAAAGTTGCTGCAAAGTATGCACAATTTTATTTTAATTTTAATTTTTTGCTTCAGAACAAATTTGAATATTTTTAGGAAATTATTAGTTAAGCATCAATCCTGCAAGATTTGACCAATGATTGAGAAAAAGATTAGGCAATCTTATTGTGTGCCAACTTCAGAGTGGCCTTAGAGTACAGTAGCCTTCCACAACCCTGCAGTGGCCCTCCAGATGTGTAGATTACAGCTCTCTATTGACTGAGAAGTTTGGCACCTCTGGAAGGCTTCAAGCTGGGGAATATGTCAAGTATGCAGTATGTTGAATATCAGTTGAATATGAACAATTTTGCAATGACTGCTGGTCACAGAGAATTACTTTGGCAGCAAACAGAGGAATATATTTTGCCAGAGTTGGTCTGTCCATCCCACTGGTTTCTTTATGCCCATTCATATTAGTTGTCCAAGTCTGACCATACTGTAAATGATAACAAGATAATTTTATATGTTGGAATAAATGACATTTGACTTTGCTGAGCAGAGTCATTTTTCACCTCTCTCCTTTAAGAGAACAAAAGGTGGGAAGACAAAACCTTATGGGATACACAATGTGGCAGGGTGAGGGAATTGTCATTAGGAAATATTTCCCTTCTGATCAGTACCTATTCCCCCTAGTACTTTTTATGTGAGGGCTATTGAGTGATTAGAGAAACCAACA